AAACGCCCTGCACAAGAAGGGCCAAAGTCGCCTCTTCCTTCTGAGGAGGCTGAGGTCCTTCGGAGTGAGCAGGCCTCTGCTCAGGACTTTTTATGACTCTGTGGTAGCTTCTGCCATATACTACGCTGCCGTGTGCTGGGCCCCGGGCAGCACAGAGCGGGACAGAAACAGACTGAACAAGCTGGTCAGGAGGGCCAGCTCCACTCTGGGCTGCTCCCTGGACTCTGTGGAGGAGGTGAGGGACAGGAGGCCCCTGGACTCTGTGGAGGAGGTGAGGGACAGGAGGGTGCTAGCCAAAGCCACCTCCATCATGAACAATACCTCCCACTGCACAGGACTGTAGAGGAGCTGAGGAAGACTGAGACACCCTCAGTGTAGGAAGGAGCGCTACCGCAGGGCCTTTATCCCCACCGCTGTCAGACTGTACAATAAGTCACTTTAAATGATCACTGTGTGAAAACCTGCACTACTATTGACACCGTTTCCAATTGACACTTGTCACTTTTGTTGTACATAATTATTGTCACTTTTATTGTACATATATATCCTGCATGTAACATGTTTGCACATTTCCTCCCTTTGCACAATCTGAGTGTTCTATCCATGCCAAATGTGACATGTAAATTTCTCCTCTGTGAGATAAATAAAGCTTATCTTAGGCATATGATTTTTATCATATTACTTTTTTACTTCTTCTCACTCCTTTTTTGAGCTGATACTTAGTTATTTAAAATACATTTATATTGTAAATGTACTGTATTGTAAAAGTTATGTATTGAACTCGAAATAAAAACATTTAATTTAATTTCAAATGACAAAAGGTGACGCATCAGACCAATGTTACTAGAAACACGTCTCGCGTGAATGACATGGTCTGACAAACCCCTCCCACGCTGAGGAGATACTTGGAGGTACTATTTTTAATGGAAAAGCACCCACACTCTGCCGTGCCGTACCGTGACTACGGAAAAGCGGCATAAGTGTCCTGAAAAACCATTATATAAAATGTATTTGTTATTATTTTTATAAAATCTCCCAATAAGATAATGATGGAGAAACCTATAGTAACAAGTTCATGCAGCAGTAAAGTAGTTCTACTACCTGGAATTTGACTGTTTTAAAATACAAGTTAAGTCACAAGAAATAGTGCACAGCAAATAGTGATGAAAAAGAAGACAGTTGCTCAAATGTGGGTAAATGTATCTTAATTTTAGTACAACTGCCTTAAGAAAAGACTTGCCGATGGGAGAAGAAAAATTATCCTGTTTTAAAAAGATACAAGAAACGTTTCTTGGAATTTCCTCCACTCGTTACTTGCATTAATGGAACCTGTTTGAACTTGTTTTCAGTATGAAAGACTCAAACAGTAACACTCAAAACTCCTCTATGGCCATATGAATAAAGAGCTGACAAAGGACACCAGAAACACAATTGTAGACCTGCACCAGGCAGGGAAGGCTGAATCTGTAATAGGTAATCGGGAGCAATTATTAGAAAATGGAAGACATACGAGGAAGACCACTGAAAATCTCCCTCAGTTTGGGATTCCACGCAAGATCTCATCCCGTGGGGTGAAAAAGATCACAAGAACGATGAGCAAAAATCACAGAACAATACGGGGGCACAACTGATTCCCCTGCAGAGAGCTGGACCAACGTAACAAACACTACCATCAGTAACACACCATGGCACCAGGACACCAGACATGTTCCTGCTTAAAGGTACTGTAATGTTTACAGTCCAAATGAAAATAACATGTTAATGCTTATATTAAACCACAGTTGAACCTGGACAAAATCTCACACAACAAACAGACATGTTCAGGCACTTGTTTTACTTGTTACAGAGTCCAAGGAGAATATTGACAGAGACAGAGCACACAGCTCAGGCACTCTCAGGACAGGCCTGATGCTCAAACAGTCTGTAAGCTCCTTTTCATAGGACAAGACATCCCTTCATATGCAGATAGGAAAGGCAGAACCAACAGAGCAAAGCATTAGCATGTTCAAAAGCCTGCTTCCACCTGGTATTTAACATACGAGCCCACAGACATCCTTTTACGTTTGAAGTAGGAACCATGGATGACCACAGATATGTTACAGAACGACCCCAACAAGAATCGTTAAGAAAAAGAATCATGCAAAAATCTAGAAAGGCGTGGTTAAAGCAACAGGAGGCACATTGTCGTAGTTAGTACACAACAGACTCATGAACAACTTTCTTCACACTGACAGTAATGAGAATGAGGCAAAATCTGAAAGCTATGTGGTGTGTACAAACCGTAAGCCGGGTTCAAGTGATGGGCTTGGCAGGCTCCCCCCCTTTGTAGAGGTGGAAGACATTTCTTGCGCCACACGACTCTCCGGTGCTCTCACGGATGTTCCCCCCGCTGCAGTCTTCGAACCATCAGCCTCACCTGTGGCACATGTGACTTTTCTCCCCTTCCAGACTTTTCTTTTGCGAATATTAACCACGTTTCATTTTAAAGCAGGTATTAGCAGTTTCAAATCGTGACGTGCACCAATCCATGACATCAAAAGCCCGCCTCAAAGAAGTGATTGACAGCGGAGAGACACTGAATCAGCGAATCAGCGCAGTCTATGGTCAGCCCATACAGCCTCTCTGAGTCCAACGTGTGGTCCATAGACAGTGAATAAGCGTCTCTGCTTTTTTGGGTTAGCTGCATGTCAACGTGGAGATAATGTGTTGTTGGTGTAAATATGTGACCAGAGTATTTGGCCCAAAGACGGAGAATGGGGATCGACATTGTTCACGGGGATCTGCCTCGTATCCGCAAGTTTGAAATCCGTGTGTGTTAGGGAGGAGGTGGACTGTATAATGCTAATTCAAGGAGGGGTCAGACATGAAACAAGATGGGGCGTCGGTCAGAACGCAGGGAAGGAAAGATGGGGAAAGACCAGGTTGAAGTTCAGGTATTTTATTGCAGCCGCCACTGCTGCACAGGTTGCTTCACACAAACACACAGTCTGCAAATACAGATAAATACAATGAATAATCAAACATATTATTCAATAACTTTTACAGAGAAAAATGTTCTTATAAAGCATGCTCACTTAAATACACACTCTTATTAGTACAAACAATTAACATCAATAACAGAACATACATAAACAGCATTAGATGGCTGCATAATGAAGTACCTGAACTTAATGCTGGCGCAGAGTAATGGCGCCCTCTAGCGGCCGCGGAAGGTCATTACATTAACCCGCGGCACAAACGTGACACATTCTTACTAAGATTCAACATTAAACAACTGCATACGCTCCAGAAATGGTGAGAACTTACATAGATACACTGCAATGAAGGTACACACATAACTAGCTTGTCACAAACTCTCACTACAGTAAACTCCACCCGAGGCGAGGAGCGCATTTACACATGAACCAGACCATTGTGTTTACAGCGAGAAAGGGGTAAATAGCACAACAATATACAACATTAAACACTCACGTTTCATCAGTGACTGAGTTTGAGGTAGCAGTGGGCTGGAACTTCCCACAAAGTGAGCTAACTGTAGGACACAACTTAGCTGCCGTTACAAGAACCGCGAAACGTAACGAGCCGGGCAGTCACGTAAGTTACGTAAGTCACGTGACTCCCCTCACAGGGCTGAGCCTTTATTACAGCCGCCCCCAAATGTGCTAGGCACATTTGCTCCAAATGAAGGCGAGTCAAAAACTAAAGGAGTAGAAACTATTCTTCTCCTGAAGGAAGCGCTGGCAGCATCACTAAACGCGCTGCAGGTCAAGTGTAAACATGACCGTTCATCTCTACATCTGCGGACCGAACACATCCATCTGCACTACGATGTACATTTACCACATGTCCTATGGGCCAGGAAGATCTAGGTAAGTGAGGCTCAACTAACATCACAACAGCATTGTCCAGTAGCTCAGGGGAAACTGCCTGCCACTTCTGTCGAGTCTGTAGAGTTGGGAGGTATTCACGGATAAACCTTGTCCAAAACTGGTCAGCTAACACCTGACAGTGTCGCCAACGTCTGCGACTCACGATCTCTGTCTCCGGGTAAACAACCTGAGGTAATGACCCATCAGGCCGCCCCATCAAGAGACTGTTGGGGGTCACAGGGTCAATGTCGGCCACGTCTGCAGAGGTGTAGCCTAGAGGTTTGGAGTTCAGGATTGACTCCACTTCTAATAGTACGGTGAAAAGAACGTCTTCCGGAACAGGTTGAGCCCCAACACAGGCGTGTAGAGCTGTCTTCACCGAACGGATCTCTCGCTCCCATACTCCCCCGAAATGAGGAGCGGCCGGGGGGTTGTACTGGAACTTTATCTTTTGGGAAGCAAGCTGCTGTTGCAGGGTTGGCACCATCTCGGCGAAGGCCTCTTGGAGTTCTCGCTCTCCTCCCTTGAAGTTCGTCCCTCGATCGGACCACAGCTCAGCAGGAGTCCCACGACGAGCAATGAATCTGCGGAGCGCCATCAGGTATGCGTCGGTATCCATACTTCTCAGAAGGTCTAGGTGCACGGCTCTCGTTGTTAGGCACTTGAAGATTATGCCCCAGCGCTTCTCCTGACGTCTCCCCACTTTCACCAGCATTGGCCCAAAACAGTCAACACCAGTGGAGTAGAACGCTGGCTTAAACAAACGAAGACGAGCAACGGGAAGGTCGGCCATTTTGGGGATGGATGGCTTGGCTCTCCAGCGTCTACATTCTGTGCAAGCATGTTGGTGTTTGCGAATAGCTTCTCTTCCCCGGAGGACCCAGAAAAGTCTCCGAAGCTCGGCGTAGACCCGTTCTGCCCCTGGGTGGCGGAGATCTGTGTCGTACTTCTGGATCAAGAGCCGCGTGAATAGATGCGCAGGATCTAAGACGACAGGGTGCACTGTGGAGTTGCTGAGGCCCTCTGCGTAGACGACCGCCCACTCTGATTAGGCCTGTAGATGGGTCTATCTCAGGTGACAAGGTTAGCAAGCGACCGCTGGGAGGGACTGATTTCCCAGCTGCCAGTAACCTTTGGTCTTCAGGAAAGGACTCTTGTTGCATTTGCAGAAGCGCAGCCGTTTCTGCTTGCTGGTACTCGTCGGCGGTGGGGGCTTGTCCGCAGGTGCTACTAGCTTTGGCTTCAATGAGCTCTTGCCAGCTCTTGTAAACTTCTTGAACTGTTCCTGCTGTGACGGCCAGGGCACAGAAGACCGACTTCCGGAACTCTGTGGTGTCCTCCTGTGGTTGGGTACTGGGTGTTTCTGGCCAGGTGTCCGACGTCTGCAGCAGGAAAGGAGGGCCTTGTGACCAGCGGTTGGGCTCCGTAAGGGTCCTGAGTGCCTTTCCCCTGGTCAGGTCATCAGCAGGGTTGTTGGCGGAGTCCACGTAGCGCCAAGTGTGTTCCTTTGTAAGTTCTTGGATCTCGGCCACTCTCGCACCCACGAAAACTTTAAAGCGGCATGACTGGGAATGGAGCCAGGTCAGAACCGTCGTGGAATCTGACCACAGAGTCACCTGGGATACCGTAAGGGTGAGTTCTTCTTCCAGGAGGTGGCAAAGCTGGGCTGCAACCAGGGCCGCGCAGAGTTCGAGGCGAGGGATGGACTGGACACGCTTGGGAGCCACACGTGAGCGAGCGAGGAGAAAAGAGAGGTGGACCCGGCCGCTAGCATCTTCGGTTCTCAGGTACGCCACTGCACCGTAGGCTTGCTCGGAGGCGTCTGCGAAGATATGGACTTGGCGGCTGGCACCTTCCGGATCTGCACCTGTGGAGACATAAGGGCGGGGGAGAGAGAGGAGAGAAAGAAACTGGAGCTCATCTTCCCAACTAGCCCAGGCCTGTCTGAGTTCTGATGGCAGGTTTGGATCATCCCAGCCACGCTGTTTACCCCATAACTGACGGACTATGATTTTGGCTCTTGTACTATAGGGTAGCAGGTAACCTAAGGGGTCGTATTGGGATGCTAGGACTTTATAAATGTTTCTCAGGGTTAGTTCTTTGTAGGTCACAGCTCTGTGTTTGTAGCCCAGGATGTCAGCCTCCCAGTTCCAACTGAGACCAAGCGTGGATTCTTGTGGGTTGGACTTGTCTTGTGCGAGCCATAAGTCAAGGCTCTCTGATCTTGCTGCTTGAGGTAGGTGGCTGAGGACATTTGCATCGTTGCAGGCCCACTGGCGTAACTCGAATCCTGCTGCGGCAAGAAGGGCTCTTAGACGGTCGACGAGTGACTTTGCTTCCTCTGGGGTGTCTAAGCTCTGGAGACAATTGTCCACATAGAAGCAGTTCTCTACTGAAATCTTCAGGTCTTCACTTGGACTGTGATTGGCGACGTGGCGTTGGAGTGCATAAGTAGCACAGCACGGACTGCAGACAGTGCCGAAGGGGAGGACATGCCACTCAAAGGTCTTTGGCGGTTGGTCCACATGCAGGTCTCGCCACAAGAATCGGAGGAGAGGTCGATCTTCTGGAAGGAGGCGGACCTGATGGAACATCCCCTTTATATCGCCGGACACAGCGATGGCCTTCTCCCGAAACCTCAGCAGGACTCCTAGCAGGGAAGCTCCGAGTGTAGGGCCAGGAAGCAGGAACTGGTTTAGTGACTGTCCAAGGTACTCGTGGGAACAGTTAAAGACTAGCCGTGACTTCCCGTTATGACTAACCAGGTGGTGTGGGATATACCACCCCTCCTGGGTTGACCTCTCTTCTTTAACCTCACTTACTGCCCCTGAGTCAACTATCTTCTGGATTTCCTGTTTATACACCTCTGCTTGTTCTGGGTTCTTTAGGAGACGTCTTTCTGTGCTGCGTAGGAGGGGTAAGACAGAGTCTTTGGGAGCAGCGAGCGGAGGCATGTCAGGATGGTGCAGGAGGGGGGTGGCATATCTGAGAGTGCCATTTACTTCGACACGAACAGTTTTAGCCTGCAGGGTAGCTATGGCTTGGCGATCTTGTTGGGAACGTGTTACTTCCTTGTCTGGCCTGTGGGATACAGAGTCCATCTGCCAAAGTCTTTCGACGTGCTTGTACAGGTCTTCTAGTTGGGGTGGGGCCGATGTGAACAGACATTGCACAGCATTGGAGGGCCGCCCCATGAGCTGGACTGGGCCTTGAAGGGTCCATCCCAACTTTGTATGGACTGCGGCTGGGCTGCCTGGCGGGCCGAGTCGAACGGGTTCTACAGGCGTGATCAGGTGGGGCTGGTCTGACCCAATCAAGAGCGAGGGTTCAGCATTCTTGAAGGCTGGAAGAGGAAGACCATGTAGGTGCCTGAACTTCTTTTGTAGTCGTTCGACAGGATAAGTGTGTTGGGCGAGACTTAACTGGCTAGAAGTGAAAGCAGCCTCAATCTTGTAGCTGGTGTGGGGGTTAGACACGGGGGAAATATGGAAGGACACTGAATACCCGCTAAGGACTTGAATATCCTGCCTAACTGTGCGCAGTGGAAGGTCTTCGGGTGTGCCCTTCATGCCGAGCGCCTTGGCTGCTGCAGGTAGCAGCATGGACCTTTCAGACCCATCATCTAGGATGGCGAAGGAGTTTATAGTGCAGCCACCGTAATGGACAAGGATAGGGGCAATCTTCAGCAGGGCTCTGTTACCTGTACCTGATCTGTCTAGGTAAAGGGCATTGGAAGCGGAACTGGTGAGTCTATTTTCTTGCTTTGTTACCGCTGGGTTCTCTGTTCTGATATTTATCTCGTGGAGAGCCTGGAGGTGCTTCCCATTGCATAGGCTACACGGTTTCTTTAGGGTGCATTGTGCCGCAAGGTGGGCTCGTGCACAGCGCCAGCAGCGCTTGTTGACCTGGATCCATTCTTTGAGCTGCTCTTTGGAGAGTTTGGCCAGGTCACTACACTGACTAAGGTGGTGGTCATTGCCCTCGCAGAATGCACAGTAAGCTTTGTTCTTAACTTTTCCATGGCTTGTTTTAGCGGTCTGGACTGGCTCCTCTGCACCATGGAAGACTGAGACCGTCTGCTTTGGGGCCCGACTGTCACTTCTAGGCCATAACTTCTCTCTACCAGTCTTTATTGTGACCTGACTATCAAAACCTTGACACCAGGATTCATGACGGAGCCACTCTGAAAGGACAAGGAGGGTATGTCTAGAGCCTGACTGCTTGAAACTGTGTCGGCAAAAATCAGCACGGAGTTCAGCAGGAAGCTTACCTAACAGACGTGCAACATGTGAGCCACAGTTCAGCTCAACATCTCCCTCGGGGCCCAGGGTCTGCAGGAGGCCAACTAAAGACTGAATCTGCAGGGAGAACTTCTGGAAAGCAGCTGTGTCCCCCCTTCGCACTTCGGGGGCCTCAAGGACGCTAGCTATCTTTCGGAGAGCTAGTTGATGGGGTTGGCCAAACTTTTCATGGAGAGCTGCCATGGTGTCTGTGTATGGGGTGGAGGAGTTTAAATAAGCATCTGCTATAAGCCTAGCTTCTTCTAGCCTCAGATGGTCAACTAGTATCTGATATCTGAACAGTTCGGTTGTGTTAGCTGGGAGCAGGTTCTCTAAAGCTATGCGAAGTCTAGCAAACTCACTAGGATCTGGGTTTATAAACTTAGGTATTGTGGGTTGAGGGCCTCTGTAGAGGGGCTCAGCTACACGAGGTGGCGCTGTACGAGTAAGAGGCTGGCTGAGTGGCGGTGTCCTAACAGCGGGTTGCAGGTTCCAGCTTGGCTTAGTGGTTAAGTAAGGATGTGGGGGAGGGGGTGGAGGCCACGCCGGGTCATGAGGCTGGTAACTGTCTTCAGGCTCGGGCCAAGGTGGAGGATCAGGCCATTCGCAGTCCCCCTGGTACTCTGCTTGAGGGGGGAGGTAAGTGACTGGAGCTGCACTGCTGGGGTGCCGCAACGGTTTGACTGGACTGTACACGGGACGTGAATTGAGCATTTCAGTTTTCAGTAGACGTGCAGCCTCTATTAACTCTTTCATCTCGGTCCGGGCTTTGGTCAGTTCATGAAGACCAGACTGGAACAGCTGTTGAGATTGGAGTAACTTAGCGTTTTCCTCTTGTACAGCTCGAATCTCCATGTGATGACTCTGTTCATGGTATGGAGAGGAGTAAGAGGTGAAAGGAACAGGGGAGGGCTGGTGGTCCCATTCTCTGGAGGTCCTCCGGAAGCGACTCGGGGCGAGCTGAGGCGTCTCAGTGTGAGCAGCATCCCCGTCGAAGCTTCGTGCGAGAGGAGGGCTGGGTTCTCGGCGATATGGCGCTGCATCTATTGGCTGATCTGGCTCATAACCAACTTCATAGTCTTGTAACCAAGGAGGGGGTCGTGCTTGTCTCTTGGGTCTCACTGACTGGTACATGCTATCCCCTGGATCCATCTTGAGTACTGTCTGTCCGGCTCGAAGGACCAAATGTTAGGGAGGAGGTGGACTGTATAATGCTAATTCAAGGAGGGGTCAGACATGAAACAAGATGGGGCGTCGGTCAGAACGCAGGGAAGGAAAGATGGGGAAAGACCAGGTTGAAGTTCAGGTATTTTATTGCAGCCGCCACTGCTGCACAGGTTGCTTCACACAAACACACAGTCTGCAAATACAGATAAATACAATGAATAATCAAACATATTATTCAATAACTTTTACAGAGAAAAATGTTCTTATAAAGCATGCTCACTTAAATACACACTCTTATTAGTACAAACAATTAACATCAATAACAGAACATACATAAACAGCATTAGATGGCTGCATAATGAAGTACCTGAACTTAATGCTGGCACAGAGTAATGGCGCCCTCTAGCGGCCGCGGAAGGTCATTACATTAACCCGCGGCACAAACGTGACACATTTTTACTAAGATTCAACATTAAACAACTGCATACGCTCCAGAAATGGTGAGAACTTACATAGATACACTGCAATGAAGGTACACACATAACTAGCTTGTCACAAACTCTCACTACAGTAAACTCCACCCGAGGCGAGGAGCGCATTTACACATGAACCAGACCATTGTGTTTACAGCGAGAAAGGGGTAAATAGCACAACAATATACAACATTAAACACTCACGTTTCATCAGTGACTGAGTTTGAGGTAGCAGTGGGCTGGAACTTCCCACAAAGTGAGCTAACTGTAGGACACAACTTAGCTGCCGTTACAAGAACCGCGAAACGTAACGAGCCGGGCAGTCACGTAAGTTACGTAAGTCACGTGACTCCCCTCACAGGGCTGAGCCTTTATTACAGTGTGACTGTGACACCACTAGACTGTTCCAGAGCTACAGTTACCTTTAAACGGGACCTACTCAAAAGCTGATCTGTAAATCAGGTGTTATTTCCAACATGAAAGACGCTAAACAGTATCCTCAGTCTTTGAGTACGATGCAACTAACTCGCCGTATATCAATGTGAACGGCATAATTAGGGTCTGAATCTGGATCGAGGATATAGAGCTGTATGTGACAGGTTGCCATTGTTGGAAAAAGTTTCTCAGGTGTGAAATTACTCTGTAACAGTGAAACAGTTAGCTCTTGTTTACCTCAATGGGTGATGCTGTGATGCTACAGGCAGGAGAACAGATCAGCTCGTTTCACAGGAGGTGACAGGAAGGATTTTTATCAGACTCTTCTCCAAATACAATTCTAACAAATTGTGATTTTCCAGATTTTTCTTCTCATTCTGTCTCTCTTAGTTGAAGTATACCTATGATGAAAATCACAGGCCTCACTCACTTTTTTAAGTGGGACTTGCACTATTGGTGGCTGACTAAATACTTTTTTGCCCCACTGTATTTTCGTGTTGTGTCTTGTATGCCAACACCCCAAATAAAATGTCTACACAAAATTCAGTGTCGTAAAAAAGGACAGTAAGCCATAGTCATCAAAATTATGGCCTGATATTTGTCACTTTGCATGTAATGATTCTGTATCATATATTGGTTTCACAATTTGGGTTGAATAATATATTTTCTGTTTTTACAGATTTCACATGCATAGTAACAGTAAAAACAGACAAAAATGAACCAAAATCTCTACTTAGCAAATGGAAAATCTCTCCTGATGACAGACGTTATCATTAGTCATATTCTTGTCCTGGAGTTTTTTCCCCAGGCTCGACTCTGTCTCTGCAGAGATGATTCAGTCATCTCCACTGTGGTGCCATGCCAGTTTTCAGACAAAGTAACTTTCTTCGCCTAATTCACGAAGATCTGTTACAGACTTGATGTGGATTAGGTTGAGGGATAATGACTAAATTATTCTCTTTGGTGTCCATGAGTTTGAAATATGCAGTAGACAGTGCCAGGCTGCGTCCATTAGAGTCTGCTCCGGTTGTGATGAAGACTTAGTGTGGACCTCAGCACAGAGACGCCAGGCCAGTCTCTCTCAACGCCTTTAATTTATTTTCCTGTAAAGCCTCAATCTTCAGAGTAAATCCTTCCTCCCTCTGTCTGTTCAGCTGTGTTTGCACAACTCTGCACATTTGACCCACAGTCTCTTCTTGTCTCAGTAATATGTACATTTTGGATTTGAGGAACAGTTCATTGGTTCTCAAAAAATAATTTTCTCTGTAACTGCTAATACTGCCTTTACTATATAAAATGTCCTTCATTGCAGTCACGTTTGCATTTACATTTGTGATGATGTTGACAGATGTTGTCAGACAGAACTATTAAAAAGTATAAAAGTAAAATATTTAATGTTTAAGGGTAGAGAATTGAAACTACTCTACGAAACCATACTCTTAATCAAACTGGCAAATACACTCTTGTGTTTACTTTTGAATGCGCTGGAAATGGCGGGAAGTGCAAAGTCGCTCTGAAACAGTTTTTTCTGTATTACAATTTATATTTTTGTTGATTTTTTTCTACCTGAAATATTGCTGCACTACAGTGTTCATGGTTTTGCACTTTTTGAAAAATGCAAACGAAGTATAACACCCATGATGTAATTCCCCTATCATTATTATTATTATTGTTATTATTATACAAATTATATTAGCCCCATCCCACTGATTGGCCAAATCACAATATCAGGAAGATAAACGTCCCGGTTGCCCAGGGAACTTCGCTGGCGCTAAGATTCAAACCGAGCGGCTACAACCTGACTCTTTTTCTGATCAGACCACTCCATTCCATGGACTGATCATGGACCCTTCAATGACTGACTTACCACTGAACTGATCATTGGTGAACCGATGGCGAACTGGATTATGTATTAAAACTGACTATTTACATGTGTGGATTATAAACTAAACAACGGATTAAAAACTGAACTCTTTCCTAAAAATGGATTAAAAACTGAAAGCATTGAGCTGTAAAATCGAAGACTTATTGAGTATTGTTTTTTTAGAATAATTTTTTATTTGGTTCTTTTTTTGGTAAATATAGATTTTGGGTTCATATTTTTCATTATTGAGTCTTTGATTTAAAACGTTAATACAGTTTTTCCTTTTGTTTTTAAAATTCATTGTATCTGTGTGTTAGTCATACCACCCTCAAGCTCCTGATTGAATTTAGACCTCTGTGATATAACAAACCCATTAGAGATTTACAAATTATAACATAGGATAAAAAAAAGCCTTCAGCATCTCACAAAATTAGAATTTTTCAAAATTAACACTGCAGCCAAGTGATGCAAAGGGCTGTCAATCTTTGCGCTCGTGCTCATATATAATTTGAATACTTATATATATATATATATATATATAATCTCGAAAGCTCCTTACCATGCATGCTTCTGTACGTAAGCCGTAAAGAAGGAGGCAGAGGACTAGTGAGTGTGAGAGCCACTGTCCAGGACGAAACATCCAAACTCCATAACTACATCATGGAGAAGGCCAAAACGGATGACGTACTCAGTGAATGTCTCAGGCAGTGGCGAGATGAGGAGGTGCTGGAGGAGAGCCCATCATGGGAGAACAAGCCCCTACACGGCATGTACCACCGGAGCATGACAGAAGTGGCTGATCTCAAGAAGTCCTACCAATGGCTAGAAAGGGCTGGCCTACAGGACAGCACAGAGGCACTATTTACAATTGACATCGACATACAGTGTAAAACTTATAACAGCTCCAATTGTCCATTAAAGACCTTATGCAGGGTTTGATTGATTTAGAAATACTATGACGTCACACACAGCTTTGAGGCATAGACAACTTAAATTCATTAAAATCACATTCTTTTTATGAAATAAAGGAATCTATTTCAGATCGACATTGACTAACTGTCGTGTAATTTTGATATTCAATTATTTTTTTTAAAACCCTGCATAAGTTCTTTAAGTCCTGTAGAAAGGGTTTCAGCGTGAAGCGTAGTGTCACTGAGCAGTGGCATTCAGAATTACTCTATAAGTCTGTGTTCCACGGTTGCCACTGAGCACCGCTGACCACAGACGACTGTCCTCCGACGGACGAGACATGCAAGGACGGACAATAGCAGAGGCGGAACAAATTAGACTTTCAGGAGCAAAGCAATATAAGGGCAAAACAGCAGGACATGGGTCCACATGTACCTTTCGCCACTGTCCGTGCTACAACAGAGATCCCCATTAGTAACAAAAGGCTACAATTGTTTAAAACTGAGGAGCGGAGCTATGGCCGCAAGGCACAGAGGAACACGGAAATGACGTGGAGCATTGGGAGCAGCTACGTGAGGTCAAAGGGCAGGCAACAAGAGGCAAGACGCTTTTATGGGTCGCCGGCTAGCGCGAGTGACCAATGAGAACTCTGACCCTCGATAGAGAGCCCGCCTCCTGGGCTTACTGCCACACAATCAATATGTTTAATGTAAATGTTGTCAAAGCAGGATTTTAGAAACAAATAACATCTAGCATGAGCTGAGTACACTCGCACCATTCACTTCGCGAGGGAGTGATCTGGGGCGAGGCACGCCTGTGCGCTGCCTCACCTATAGCCTCTTTACAAGAAATACAAGATTTCAGCAGTTTTGAGTACAAAAATCATGAAAACTGATCAGAACCAAAGCGAAAATGCATTAAGCATAGACTAGTGGAAAATATTAATTACTATTTTTTTTGTACTATATTTTTTTCTTCTCATGATGGCAGTCGAGCTCGCCAGAACACTTTATCAGCAGAGTTGATTTAAGCGTTGGGTGAGTCTCTCTACTCATTTGGAGAACCAGCTAACTATTCCCATACCTTCACTTTTTTCAAGGATTTCTGGATATTATGCTGCACTGGAAGTTATTGCTTTTATAACACATTCATATCTTTTCCTCGAGCTTGCCTCAGTAAAATGTCAAGATGTGTCTTAGGGGCATTTTTTTATTTCTTCTTGTTTATTTAAATCCAATACTGCTAGCCATGTGTATTCCGTTCCACACTTATTTGATTGAGTCACTCTTCTAAAATGCCAAAAC